CCAGGGTAAAGTGGTGAGGTGGTGCAGGATTTTGTCCATCAACAGTAGCTTTCGTGAATAAAACAGCTTCCGAAGTGTCTACATATGTGGCCTCTTTCTGCTGTTGAAACAATTTCTACTTGATGGAAAGTTCATGGTGATTGCAGGCTTGCAGGATTACCCTCTAGGCGGCCACCCAACAACGTGTTGCGCTCACACCCAACACACCATCTCAGCCCCTGGGGCCCTAGGGCTGAAACCGCTGCGTCCACGTTCGCGGCCGTCATCATCTGTGCTGGCAGTGACAACACCACCACCTGATATGATGGCCTCAAAATAAAGGAAGACGAGGAAAAAAACACAAAAGAATTCTTTCTCGTTCATTTCATCCAAGCTCTTAGAGTCTTAGAGTCCAAGCTGGGTTGCGTCGTTTTTTCGCAACGTTTCACTCTTACACATCGGAGATTCATGCGATCAGCCCGAGAGTGTGCTCTGTGTGGATGAGGCTTTTAGACGGAAGGGAAACCATTAACCATGGCTAAGTGCATAGTGTGCATAGCACTGAACTGAAAAAGTCGCGTGCAGTAAGAGTTTCCACCTGCCAGCTGGCAAACGTTTTTGTAGTTATGACCCTGGCGGACCATGTCTATGCCCGAGAATGAACACGGGCACATAGCCTGCATAAACTGCAGAAAATGCAAGAAACAGGCTAATTGAGATGGCCTCCAAAACCACATTCAATAACCGCAAACATGATTTTGGAATGTAGAGGAAAAGCAAACATGCGAATTCAATGTCCACAACCAGTTTGATACGTATGAAAGCCACCGCTTACAAAACAAACTGCCATTAATATGTAACATTCGGTAACATCCAGTATATAACATCTACTCACCATTCCCTCATCGAAGGCTGACTAGCGGGACCAGACCATGAGCCCATACAGTACTGCCCATCATCTTCTGATCAGAAAAGTCTGGCCTCCTGACCAACCAACCAACCAGCCAGCCAACAAACAAACAAACAAGCACCTGACGAAGCCCAGAAAATGCTCAGCCCTGACTCACCCGGTCCAAGTGGCAGATGCACTTCTCGTAAAGAGACTAGGTTGCGAGGCCTGCAGGCCATCGAGGCGTTGACAGCTGGCTGTCTGTGCTTGGGGGCTTCAACACAAACTGATGTTGCCAAAGGCATCATTTATTTGTGCAATACCAAGAATGGTCGTTCAACGCCCCACAGGCTTCACGGGCCCAACGTCTCTGTCGACATCACTGCCAGAAGTTGCTGCAAATCAAGTGAGGCGTTGCTTACGCGTGGCCCAACGCGCTCTACGGGCCCAACACGGTCAATCAAGTTCTCATGTTTTGTTCTTTGGTCCTCTTCTGTCTCTGTCAAATAGATACACTTTCAGAGATTATATCAGACAGTGCGTCGCACGGAGGGTGCGCAAACTTTTGCTCCATAGTCATAGTTCTGATTGTCTCTGTCTGCATCAAATACACTGCGGGAAGTTCTGTCAGGCGAAGCATCGCTTACGCGATCCTACTTGTTTTGTCCTCCTTCAGTCTTTGTCTGCGCCGCGTTCAAACCTTCCTCTTTTTTCATGTTGTCCTTGCAGTAAATTGACCTTCCTCATCGTCTTGCGTTCTTTTTCATGTGTTTGTTCTTATTCTGCCTTTTCCGCGGCCTCAAAGGGTTCAAGGGTGTTAGCAAGCTTTAGCTCTATGATTCTTTGGTTCTCTTCGGTCTCTATCTCCATCAAACGATACAATGTCAGAAGTTCAGACTCTGTGTCGCACGGGGTTTTGCAAACGTTCACTCGATAGCTCTGAATTGTCTCAGTCTACACCAAGTACAATGTCAGAAGTTGTGTCAGGCGAGGTGTCTCTTCCATGCCCCTACTCGTTTGGTTCTTCTTCTGTCTACTTTGTCTGCACAGCGCTTGAACCTTTCTCTTGTTTCACGTTGTTTTAAGTTTGACCTCCCTCACCATCTTGCTTTGCTCTGATTCTTCTCAATAATAGTTTTCTTAATCCTAGTCTGCCTTTCCAGGGGCACCACGGGCCCAACGGGTCATCGGGTTCACAGGGATTCGCATCCTTTAGCTCGATGGTTCTCTCCTTTCTTTACTTGAGATGGAAACTGACGCTGCCCCCTTTTCCTTTAAAGTACAGTACAGCAAACGCCGTTCCCTCTATCTGCCGCAGACGGGCGTGGACGACACCGTGGCATCGCGCTCCAAGGAGACAAGTTGATAAGTTGGGAGTTGGGAGACACGAAGGCAGTCTCACGCCAACGTCCAGATAGTCTTCAGCCTTGCGGAGATCTAGCGATGCTTCCAACTTTCTGAGTGTGCTTGGAGGGAAAGATGGTTTCTCCGTCAAACATTCGCCCTCCTTTTTGCAGAGTCTTCAGGTCCCGACAAAGCTCCTACTGCACCACGAAGGCACGAATCTGTGAAAAGAAGAACAGCAAACGGGAAGAACTGCCATCTCACGCAGGAAGAAGTCACTAGTTCATGTCCTTCTTCTCACATCATCTCGCATTTCCACGAAGTGGATAGTGCTCGATCTTTGCATCCGCATCCTCTCCGATCAAGGCTTAAAAGCTTGAAGGCCCACCATTCCGAAAGGTCTGATCCCACTGTGCTCACATGACGCCCAATGCTCCCACCTTCGAAAGCTCTAGACGCACATTGTTTGAGAGACATGCTCTGTCCAATGCCTGGACTCGAAGTGCAAGGCAAGGATGACTGGCACCTGTCAGGAGCATCTTCAGGTGAAGCCAAAAAGTGCCCTTCCTGCTCGCTGTTGAAGGCACAAAGAATCACTTCCCCACCTACCATTCACCCGTCCCTATACTTTGAGTTTCAAAATAATCCGATAACCGATAACCCTTTCAGAGCACCGACTGAAAGCCAAGGAGCTTCAAAACTTCTGCCGTGTCTCGGAGAACTTCCGATGGATCATCTGTGGGGCGGTGCATCCGTGCTAATGCAAAAAGCGCTGTGGCAGGGTTTACAATGTCTAACATCAATCGGTCAGCTTCTAGTTCTTGTCCACGACTCCGAAGTCCCAGCAAAAGCCACATGCCCGCAGTTGCGGCAATCGTCTGCACCTCATCTGTGGAATCGTCCTTTTGTTTGAAGCTCCATAGAAGCATGAGGCGGTAGAAATCCAAAATCAAGAAAGCTCTCTTCATGTGATGCCCTTTTGCAACATGTGCCAACTCATGAGCCAGGACTGCAACAACTTCCTCAGGTGGGAGGGTCTGCAAGACTGCAGTGGAAAACAAAATCCAGCCTCTCTGGCCCCTCTGGTCACTTTGGTTCTTCTTGTTGCCTGCATGGTGGCATTGCCGTGGGCCAGCTTGGGCAAGCATACGTCCATCTTCGCATATCAATATTTCTGGGGAAGGAGAGATCCCAAAGACCGAGCAAATGTCCTCCTTTGCTTTGTTTAGCCACTCAATATCTTTGGCGCTTACCCCCCGGGCACGGCCACGGCGCACAAGCAGCTTGACATATTCCATGATGTTCTCCACTGACTGAAGTACGATTGTATCAGGTGTCCTCAGAACATTCACTAAATTCCAGCTTTCGCAAGCAACTCTGGACACACTGCCATGGTCAGCTGGTTTGTCTTTCGTCAGCAAAATGGTGACACCACTGACAGTCACGATAGTTAAAAATGCCAGCAGCCACACTTTGGAGCGCTTTCCATGCAGCCATCCAAGTGTCATTCACTGGGACACTCAGGCAAAAGGAGCACGAAGCATGAACGCGCTACGGATAGTAGCACACAAAGCGACTTTCTTGCTGGATAACCCTGCTCAGCCTAACCAAAAGTGTGAATCGAAAAAGTTCATGACATGCTGCCCACACCGGTCTCAAGAAAGTGGGCCTGCAAGTTGGCTGCGGATAAATGAATGCACTTCAATTAGCAGAGTTCTCATTCTGAAGGTGCCTCCAACCTACTAGCGATGGCCACCTAATAGCGATGGCCTCCACCTAGTAGCGTCCTTGCCACTGCGTGAACCACCTAGATGTTCAAAGACTGCAGCCAAAAGGACCGCCGCTGCCTGCCGGGTGCCACTGGGCTCTGTCATGGCCTGCAAAGGCGGTGATTGCTAGTGCCTGTGCTTTTGAGAATCGAAACATAGACAGTCAGATTCAAGCTCTGCCACCTGCTATCAAAACATGCTTGCCGTTCACGCGAAAGTCAGCAACCTACATGTATAAACACATTGCACATACTGTCATATACTGTCTGTTCAGCAAGTTGCCTGCGGCCTGCTTTCAAGGCACAGAGAAGTGTAAGCGAGATCCAAGACAGGCTTATCATATCTTATAATATGATCACTTCCCTCCTGCGATGACTTCACCCTTCAATCCACTACTGTGCTATGTTCAGCTCCTTGTCCTCAAGCTGAGGAACCAAACTCGTTCGACACTAGGAGTGGCGTGTGTAAGAGCTATGCACTACAGGCGCTGGTGGCGCCAAGCAAAAGTAGAAATCATGCTTGCATCAAAATGTTGGATCGCCAGGTATGAGGATAGAATGAATAGGAGTTGCTTGATGATTTGGACAATGTGACGTTTGATATGGGTCTTTTGCGCGAAAAGTATGTCTCCTGTAGTGACGTGAGACCGAGCTGTTTTGTATCTTGACTTTGTATGCACTGGGCCTGTCGGCTTGTCGTGTGCGACCTGTGCTGGGTTGCTCAACTTGAGCTAAGCAGCTTGCAGGTTGTGCCAGTAGCTTTGGATTAACAATGCAAGATCTGTTTTTGCTCACTGTCACAAACACCAATGGGCATCAAGAAAAGGTAGGCAAGACCACTGGCAAAACGAAACACTGTAGACCCACTCCTGTTGCTTGGGTACCGAACACGGAATCAACATCACCACTCTATGCCAACTTGCAGACAGTCATAGTCACTTGAAGTACAGTCTATAATAAAGAATGGGTTTGTTTGTATGCAAATATCGATGTGGGAGTTTCTCTCTTCCGACTCGAGAATATGTCGAGCACCCGATTTTGATCGACTATGTACTGCGTACAGAGACAAAAAGAGGATCTGTTGAGGGTCATCAATTGGCCGAAGTAAAGTCAACAATGTCGCACAGAATTTGGCTATAGAATGAGTGTGACTGCAGTTTCAACACACTTGACTGGAGAGTCTCGCTTTCTGGGATAAAGTCAAGCTATCAAGACCAAACTGCCCGGTTTCAAGGACGGTCTCGTCTCGTGGCCAAAACCCCATCTTCTCCTGGTTGCTCCCCTCTTTTCAGAAGCTTAGCAGCGCCATTGAGCGCAGGGCCTGAAAGGGACAGCCGTCGGACAACCTAACACTAGAAGTTTGAGCCCCATTATCTGGAAATGGCGAGCATGAAGAGAGAGGAAAGAAATGCACTCCACCATAAGATGCAGAAAGGAACAAGAAGCTACTAGGGGCTCCTGGCCTTACTACTAGGAGCAAGGACGCTCCTGGGGGCTCCTGGCATCGCTACTAGCAACTAGAAGCTACTAGGACAGAAGTGTCGTAGCCCCCGCCCAGTCCTATTGGTACAGCTGTTGTGATCGATGACGGCCCACCTGCTGTGAGCGCGTCCGGGAAAATAAAATCCAGCTGCTGCCGCAACCTGGGGCAGTATTTCATACAATTATTCTTGGGTCGATTCTCCTCCTCTACATATATCCGCCGACCCCGCCGGTTGAAGGGGGCGCGCGCCAGAGAAGGCAACCGAGGGCATGCTGGAAGCGTTGCGGAAGGTCTGACAGCTTCAAGCGTTGCTGAAGGTCCGAAAGCGGAAGACAGGGCGTGCGCGACGCTGCTTCACAAACTTGTTTTACGGGTTCCGAAAGCGACGTTAGAGATTCTGGGGTCGTACCGGGAGGCGCCCTTTCGGGCGATTTTTGTATCGAATTAGATTGTGGAAAGCTGTGGCGAAGGAAATCACTGGGAGCAGGTGTCTACCAGCCAGAGGACCCGTGGGAGGTGAGAGATCGGCCCCGTGGAGCGTAGCTAACAACCCGAGGCGTGTCCGTCACGGCAGGCGGCTTGAAGCGTTGCTGAAGGCTCGAAAGCGGAAGAAAGGGCGTGCTCGACGCTGCTTCACAGACTTGTTTTACGGGTTCCGAAAGCGACGTTAGACATTGTGAGGGCGTACGGGGAGAACCTCTTTAGGGTGATTTTTGGTCTCGAATTAGATTGTGGCAAGCTGTGGCGAAGGGAATCACTGGGAGCAGGAGTCAACCAGCCAGAGGAGTGAGAGAACGGCTTATTGTCTACCAGGTCTCGAATTAGATTGTGGAAAGCTGCGGCGAAGGGAATCACTGGG